TATTCCTTTAATGCTTTATCTTTTGTGCAGAGAAAGCCAGTCAAATCCTCCTCTTCTACTTCTGCTCTGTCTCCAGTATCTGGCTAAACATGTCACCCTCCATAAGTTTTTTTTTTGATGGTGGTCTCTTTGCATTCAGCGATTTCTATGAAGCCAGTCTATTCTTGATGGCTAGAAATGTCATAAACATACACATCTTATATGATTAAATATTAAAATAAGGAATTAATTGAACAAAAAGAACCTGAATTTCCTACATGTTTAATTAACCTTTATGTACTGCTATCAATGCAGACCTGTTCTGTCTTGATAATCAGCCGAAAACTTAATTTCTAACACACCCTAACTAATAAAACAAAGAAATACTTATTTATAATAAAAAAATGTAATTCTGTTGAGCTATTTTAAGTGTGTTTTCTGTTGCATAAATAATTGAGTCATAAAAATGTTGTGGCGTAGCTTGATTGTTATTCTATATACCAATTTTTGTAATTAAAGTTTTATCTGTTATTTTATATGTTAATTTTATTCAAAAGTGTCATCTGAACAGTGGATGTCAACATTTATTGTCTTTTAAATGCACAGCATTTAGTGACTGGATGCTTTAGAATGAGAAAAAAAAATATAGACAACAAGAAATGAAGTTGTAAAATAAGATTAAACACTTTTTTATTAGGCGATTAAATGTATATTCCAAAAAAGTTTAAAAAAAATTGATTAAATGTATATTTTTAAGTAATAAATATAAATAGAAAATTAAGGAAATTGTAACTTTATAATATTGGATGCAATTTTTATTATATGTGTATATATTATCGATTTTATTTTTTCCTTATACATGCATTTTTGATGGTAAATTTCTTGCTCTTGAGCGACTAGTCAGGCCTCTTTTTTTAGCTACCCGGAAGTCGAGAAGTCTTAGACCATTGCTTTTGTCTTGTGGTCACGTGACCCGTCCTCCTCCAGCCACTTCCCCAAACAAACACCAGTTGGAGCAGTTTTTTTTCCCTCTAAGTAAAACCAGCAGAGGTGTCAGCCTCTCGACATGCTGTGGCGAAGCTGTCAGATAAAACAACCTCTTCTGAAGCAAACCCATCGATGAATGATCACTCAGGTGAGCCAATCAGAGATTATTTTTTTTATTTTGGCTCCGCTGCTATTTCGTTAAACGCATAATGTTTTCCTAATCGGATGAGTCTAGCAGCAGGAGCTCCACTCTGGGATTTTGCTGACCGGTGTTCTGCTGAATAATGTGTTTGCAACAAAGGCAAACATCGACAGGCAGCGATCTGCTTTTAGCTGGTGGCACCAGTTTACAGTTTGCTGATCACAATCACACCCGCAGGTTAACCCGATCCCTATAATACGGAAGGGGATTAGGGCCACTGAAAAAAACAAAAAAGTTAACTGATTTTTAAATTTCATTTCAGTATAATATGAGAAAAAAGAAGTTTAATCTCAGAATTCAGACTTTTTTCCTCAGAATTCAGTGATAATTCTGAGTTTAAAGTCATAATTATGAGATTAATCGCAGAAGTCTGACTTTTTTTCCTCAGAATTATGACTTTAAACTCAGAATTTTCGATCTTAATGTAAATGGGCACCATAAAGGAAGGAATGTGGGAGCACTAAACTTCACTGACAAAGATGTGAGGTGTTTGGGAGGAACAGTAACACATTGGTAATTAGAAATAGGGCAACTGCCAGAGGGCTCCCCGGTCATGCTATTTCATTATTGGAGGAGCTGTATGTGATTAAAACAAGAGAGCTAGTTTAGTCTTTAAAACAGACATGGCTACAGCTTGATGATAACATGTTTGATAGCTGAAAGAATTCAGTCAAAATTCTGAGAAAACAGTCAAAATTTCAGAACAAAAGTCAGAATTCTGAGATCAAAGCCAGAATATTAAACTGAAATAATATTTATCAATCAGTTAACTTTTTTTCTTTTCAGTGACATTTTTCACTTTCAGTGACCCCAATCCTCTTCCGTACTTTAATACATTTATACGTGTTTTTCCATGTCTAACCCTAATCTGGATTATGACGAGTTAAACAAATGTTGAAGAAAATACGTGGTTGGAAGAGAAAGGGGGTGAAATTAAAGTCATTTTTTTCTGAAAAAGTTTTAAAAAAACAATCCACTGGACTTTGTTTCCAAGGCTTGAAGACGTTTCGCTTCCCATCCAGGAAGCAAAACGTCTTCAAACCTTGGAAACAAAGTCAAGTGGATTGTTTTTAAAAACTTTTTCAGAATGACTATGACCTGGATGACTGAGAATCTTCATCTGCATAAAGTCGGTATGTTCTTTTAAATCATTCTGACTCTCTTAGCTAAGGCAAGTTGACTTATACAGCACATTCCTGCAACAGCACAGCTCAAAATGTATTTTAAAGCATGTTATACTTAGGTTATAGAGAAGGACTTTAGATTGGGATGATGTGCACTGCTTTCAGAGAGCAGCAGTGGATCATTTGCAGCGGTCTAATTGACTTTACAGGTAGACCTGTGACATTGTTGCTTTAATCAATTCCAATAAAGATTAACACATGGATGGGTTTTCAATTGTATTTTATCCAATATTAAAAATATACTCTCTCCAAAACAAGATGTGCAGTTATCTCCGTTGACATCCCATTAGGTTATTTCTTTTTAGAGTTCAGATGAAAGTTTGGTTAAAGGAACTCACATGGATACATAGCTGGTAAAGCATACCTACTGCAATGGCCAGAGAGGATTTGTTTTAGGCTATGTGCTTGCAGCACACGCTCACATAGGCCGACAGCTCAGCCATTTTATTGAAAATCCTCATAAGGAGGAGGAGGGGAGGGGATTCTCAGTTCTATCACTTCCTGTCTTTGTTAAATTCAGAAGATTTAGCCCTTAAATATCTAAGATCAACAGCTTAACATGAGTTAAAAAAATCTCTTTTTATAATGAACTAATCATTTTATTAGCTGAATTCTCAGATCTACGAGCTGAAGACGTTTTATTGTTGTCTCCCTTTTATCTCCTCTTTCTTTCATCTTTTGTCCTTTTTCCTGTTTTTCCTTTCCTGTTCTACTTACATTGCAGTGTCCATATAATCTGTAATGCTCCCTGCATAATTATAATAAAGCTATTTACATGCATAAATCAATCGATGGCCGTGCTGCTCCGATTGTGAAAGCAAAATCTGTGGGGACCTTTTTGGCATCAAGACAATTATACTTATTGCCACATTGCCAGACAGGACACTAGTAAAACAAAAAAATAAGATCTAGAAGGTGATCAATGAGCAGGTTTAAATCAGCATTTCTTCTTTCACACACTTACTTATTTCCAAACAAACTACATGGTTCAGTCCATTTATGTATTATATGCTCTGTAAAGCCTGTAGTTTGTATATTATATAAGGGCTGCTCGGTGACGCGGTGGGTAGCACTGCATTGCATCAAGAAGGTTCTGGGTTCCCGGCCTGGGGTCTTTCTGCATGGAGTTTGGATGTTCTCCCTGTGCATGCGTGGGTTCTCTCCAGGTACTCCAGCTTCCTACCACAGACCAAAAACATGACTGTTAGGTTAACTGGCTTCTCTTACCAAATTCTCCTTAGGTGTGAGTGTGTGCATGAATGCTTGTTTGTCCTGTTTGTTTCTGTGTTGCCCTGGCGACCTGTCCAGGGTGTACCCCGCCTCTCCCCCGCAGACAGGTGGAAACAGGCACCCCTTGCAACCCCGCTTGGGATAAGCGTGATGGAAAATGGATGGATTTGTATTTTATATATATATATTCTTTATGTTTTGTTTTATTTGTTGGTACTTTTGTTGATATGTCATGATTCTGCTTGGTTGTCTCTCTGCTTCTTACTCTTGATATTCCAATGCATTTTGGTGAAAGAACTTGCCGCCAATGCACAAGATAAAAGTAATGTTTCTCTTCTTGCCAACAGCCTTTAATCTGCAGTGATGTCTTTGTTTATTTAAATGCACAATAAACTGAAAGTTCACATTAATTTCATATTTTGCCCCTTTTAAGCACATATAAACAACATTGGAACCAAATAGGTCTGTCATTGTGTGTGTCTCTTTTACCACATGCACATTAAATTTAGTTGGTGTCCATCTGGGATACAACCCTTAATGGATTGGAGTGAACAGTGGTCATGTAGGAAGCTAAACTGCTTAGCAAGGAAATGTTTAAAGCACAAATCAATGATCATATGTATCCAGTAAAACCTTTATTGGACAGTTATAGAGAAAGTTGCTGTATTCTGTTTGGCTTTGTAAACTTTATTCAACATTGTGGATGCAGTAAGCTGTTGGCTCATTATTTAAATTGGATTTTTAGAAACCCCTGTGTGGATAAAACACAGCAGATTATTATTACTTTTTTTTCCTCTTTTATATGTATTAAAAATAACTATTTTTATTAAACTAATCAATAATCTGCATGGGCCTTGATGTACTTTGCTTTATTATTATGTGTGTTTCTGTTTTTGTTGTATTTCCATCACTGCAGCAAAAGAGCCTTTTGATTTTAAAGTGGAATTGAAATAAATTTAAAACAATCAAAATTACAAAAAAAAAAAAAACAAACAAGAAAAGGTTCGACATTCATGATCTAATCAAAGTAACTGAGTTGTAAACTTTTGCATTTGCTTTTTAGTTTCACTAATACTTTTTTCTATGCCATTAATTTGATGAATGCACTGAGGCTGCACAATCATAAAATGGTTATTATGTTAAGAACAGACTGAAGAAATATTTAGCAAAATAATTTAAGATGTTCCTGTGATGAATTTAAAATGTTTGAAAAGCTCTTATCACTTCCAGACATGTTTTTGCTTGTTTTTATGCTTTTGAATGTGTTTTGTGCCAAAAGATAAAAGATTAAACAGGATGATCTTCACTCCCTTAAAGCTTTGCAATGCATACAAGCCCTTATCTCTCATGAGTTATTATGAAAACTTGTGATGCAGCCTTTCTCTAACCTCCATCATGTGTGTGTGGGGGAGTGTGTGTGTTCAGCATATGTGTGTGTGTGTTTGGGGTTAAACTATCCTTTTAATCTGAAAACTGATCCAAATATCAGAACAGCCAACCCTTGTAAGATTATTGTGTATTCTGCAGGATTTAGTAAATATGTTAAGTGGAAAATATCTCTGTTTGAATCTCTACAGCCTTATTTACTCAAACCAGTTAAAGAAACGCTGCAGCCCGTTGGCCTAAGCGGACGCATCATGGTGGATGTAAACAAATGGCCCATTTTCAGCTTGATGGGGCCGGAGGAGCTCTCATCAATAAGGATGGCCTGCGTGTTTGGCTCGTCTGCTAATGAGGCCATCTACATCAGCAACGACGAGGAGGTGAGAGGCCAGAGGAAACGCTTATTGGTTTAGTTATATTCCTGAGGGTTTTACAATGTCATGTCGAGTGCTTTTGCTGATTCTTTATGCACAGAACCACATTTAATGTTATTTTAACCACAGTTTTCTGATTTGTTTACCTTCTTATTAGGGCTGCAACTAGCGATTATTTTGCAAATCAGTTAATCTGTTGAGTATTTTTTATTTTTTTTGAATAATCGATTAATAATCGGAAAACAAAAGATTCCTGAAAGAACACTTTTTATAAAATTAAACCACGTGAAACAAAAATGATTCCACTTGAGAAGTTCTGGATAGAGCATATTGACAGATGGAAAATAAAAAATAAAAATAAATAAAAAATGTTTTATATATATTTTTTTACATTTTGGTATAATTGCTGCTTAAGGGTTGGTTAATCTGTCAACTAAAGGCATATTTTATAGTCTCTAAAGTCAAGCTAATGATTTATCGATTACTAAATCAGTTAATTATTAATAGAATAATTGATTAATCACGATTAATTGTTTCAGCCTTACTTATCCAACACATAGCTGTTTATGTACAGTCTATCACAGTTAAAAGCAGGGGAAAAACATTTTACAGGTTACAAAAAAAATCCTAACAATGTTGACTTTTGCGTTTTAGGGTAACGTAATTCAGTTTTCTCGATGAACAGGGATTAACTAGTGATTTTAATGCTGAACAGATACATTTAACAGTTAATTAAAAAAGGATAAAAAAAAAAAAGCCTTACATAATTTAGAAATATTTTGGTATGTTCTTTTTACACCTCCTGCGTTCACCATTATTAAAATCCATCAAAAAATATTAAACCATGCATGTATACCTTTGATCCTTTAAAAATTTAAAATCCTCTGTTTATTGTATGTTATGTCATCCCATTAGGAATAAAAAGTATGCTTGAATGTAGGAATTATTAAAATCTATGAGATATCTGACTGAAACTGTACCTTATTTCTACCAGCAGTAGTTAGACATGAATAACTAAACATTAGTAAATGAAACTAATGTTTAGAAAAATCATCTGAAATTCATTTGTTATTTTTTAAATGCAGAATTTAATCAGTAACCAGTTTTTAAAAATGTTAGAAGTTTCAAATTCTTACTTTTGGTCTCTGGGGGTCAAACAATCCTGCCCTTATAATATGAGCTAAAGACCACTTCAGCGCCTCCTGCTGGTGCTGATATTAGGATGGAAAATTATCTGATTTGCTTGGTTTAGCTGTGTTAGGGCTCCTAGGGAGAATTGAAAAGGAGGAAAAAAGTATGTTTTGCCCAGACAGAGTTCCTTATTTTATTGTTTAAACATTAACATCTGAAAAAAAAATTCTTAATAAGAAAACACTTTATGCATTAATTTATTTGTTTCTTTTTTCTGTCATATGGATTTAAAGTCAGATCAGAAAATATGAAAAGCAACATTTTGTCATATCCACAGCTCATTGATTCTGTAGATCAGAGTTTTTATTTGTGCTTCTCTTGTAATTTCCTGAAAGTATTTCAAATAGAAGAAAGTTTAAAGAGACACAAAGTGTTTTGAAGAAACTCTGTTTGGGATTTTAAAAACAAAGTGCACAGAAATCCTGTGAATTGTTATCTCTGTTTGGCACTTCTCCCTGATCCCCGTCACTTCTCCCATCTTATGTCCCTGCACACCCAGGTTTTCGTTTTTGGGCTGAACTGCAGTAACTGCCTGGGAACGGGGGACAGCCAGAGCACCATCGTCCCCAAAAAGCTGGACTTTCTGAGTGGCAGGAAGGTGGTGAGCCTCAGCTATGGGAGCGGACCTCACATCCTGCTGGCTACAGACGGTAGCAGCATGAAACATGTGATTTATCCCCAACTCAACCAAACATTCAGCCAATCCACTAATGTTTCCATGTTTCAGACGGGGAGCTCTATGCATGGGGGCACAATGGCTACAGCCAGCTTGGAAATGGGACGACCAATCAAGGAGTAGCTCCTGTGGTCGTTTCTGCAAACCTGCTCAACAAGAAGGTCACAGAGGTGGCTTGTGGCTCCCACCACTCCATGGCCTTAACCGACTCAGGAGAGGTAGGTTTACTGTAATATAATGCTTTTTGACCTATTGCAACATTTCAGGCTTCAAAAATAAAGATATAAAATTTTTATTTTTTGTGAAGAATGAACAAGTGGGATAAAAATCATGAAGTGAAACAAAATTTATTGGATATTTTAAACTTTTTAACAAATAAAAACAGAAACAATTGGGTGTGTAAAATTATACAGCCCCTACTGCAATTTCCCAGCTTGGGATAAATAAAGTACATCTATCTATCTATTGAGTTAATACTTTATAGCGCCACCTTTTGCTGTGATTACAGCCGCAAGTTTCTTGGGGTATGTCTATCAGTTTTGCACATAGAGAGACTGAACTTTTTACCCGTTCTTCCTTAGAAAACAGCTGGAGCTCAGTGAGGTTAGATGGACAGAGTTTATGAACAGCAGTTCTTTCCAGAGATTCTTGATTGGATTTAGGTCTGGACCTTAACTGGCCAATCTAATTCCTGGATATTTTTATTTGTGAACCATTCCACTGTAGATTTTGCTTTATGTTTTGGATCATTGTCTTGTTGGAAGATAAATCACCGTCTCAGTCTTAAGTCTTTTGCAGACTCCAACAGGCTTTCTTCCAGAATGCTCCAGTATTTGGTTCCATCTTCCAATCAGTTTTAACCATCTCCACTGTCCCCGCTGAAGAAAAGCAGAACCAAGCCATGATGCTGCCACCACCACTTTTGACAGGGGAGTGGTGCTTTCAGGGTCATAAACTGATTTGTCTTTACATCAAACAATAAATTTAAACAATAAATTTTAAATTTAGCATTATTGCCAAATATTGGATTTTGGTTTCATCTGACCAGAGCAACTTCTTCAACAAATAAGGCTTTTTATGGCTCTCTTTAAAAATGGCTTTCTTCTATTAAGGCTATATTTGTGCAGTAAACCACTGTTGTCCTATGGGCAGTCTCCCACCTCAGCTGTAGATCTTGGCTGCATCTATGATCAGTCTTCTCCTTGTTTGAGCTGAAGGTTTAGCAGACATCCCCGTCGGTCCCCGTGGGCCGCTGTCCTGCAGGTTTTAGAGGTTTCTCTGCTCCAGCACAGCTGATTTACATTGATAGTTGATTAACAGGCTTTTGCTGAACTGCAATCATCAGAATCAGCTGTGCTAAAGAAGAGAAACCTCTAAAACCTGCAGGACAGCGGCCCTCGAGGACCCACCTGGTTTAGAGCGATGACCGGGTCTACATAGATTAGCTGTGGTCTCAAACTCCTGCCTTTTCAATATTGCTGCTTGCACGATGCTCCTAGTGATGTTTAAAGCTTGGACAATATTTGTGTATCAAATACAGCATCAAACTTCAACACAAGAGTATCTCAGACCTGCCTGGTGTGTTCCTTGTTCTTCATGATGTGAGACGATCACAGAGCAGGTGCATTTATACGGAGACTTCATTAAACACAGGTGGATTGTATTTATCTTTATCAGTCATTTAGGTAAACATTGGATCACGCAGAGATCCTAACTGAACTTCTGGAGAGAGTTTACTGCAATGAAAGTAAAGGGGCTGATTCATTTTTCGCGCCCCACTCTTCAGTTTTTATTTGTTAATGTTTAAAATATCTAATACTTTTTGTCCCCGTTGTTGTTGATTCCTCACAAAAAATAGAAAAAATTTGCCTCTATGTTTGAAGTCTGAAATGTGGCAAAGAGTCAAAAAGTTCAAGGGGGCTGAATACTTTCACAAAGTACTGTAAACCACAAAAATGTTTCCATCTTCCTTGATAGGTTTCTGAATGTTGGCAGAGAGCAGACTAGAAGCTGCTTTCAGACCTTTCTGTTGGTACAGGACACTCAGCTTTGTTCAGAGGGAGTGTGAAGCAGAAACCAAAGTCCAGTCACAATTAATCCCCTCTGAGTTGAAACCAGGGGGAAAAGCTTAATGTGCTGAGCTAAACATGGCAAAATTAATAGGCTGACATGGAAATAAAACAAAGAGGACTTGTCAGAAGTAAGGGTCATACAAACATATCCACGTGTCTTTTACAATTACAAACTTGATCTAACTTTCATTATATATGTATATAGTGAAATTGCTTATTTATAGAGATGTATCTTATTACTGATAGTTTATATCATAGCTATATTTAAAAATTATAATTATCAACAGTTTCACAGCCACTGTGACATTAGTAGACTTTATTCCGAATTAGCATGATGTTAAATGTGTCTTAAAGAATGAGACTGTGCTATCCTATCAGTACTATCAGTACTATCAGTATCCATGTGTGCACATGCATGTCTAATAATATCTATGGCTGTATCCGAACGTCCGCCCTAATCTCTTTATAGAGTACTCTATAGCGGTTACGCCACTTTCTAGTGGGTGAAACACTAGTGGTCTCAAAATTTCCCACACTGCACCTGAAATGTATTGTGCAACCATGGTCACTAGACAAGCAGCATTTTCATCAAAAGCTTCATTTTGCCAGAAATAGACATGTCCATGTTTAGGAGAATGAATGTAGTCTATTCATTTTCACATGGGCTGTCAATTCAATCAACTTTTTTAATTTAATCCAATTCACTAACTTCTATGTCATTCGTCTTTTAAATTGTTTGTATGGTTTTCAAATCGTTCATTATTTATATCCATCTGTTCCAGAAGATGAATGCTGCTGTATGTAAATAATAATTTGACTGAGAAAATTAATCGGCTTAACCATTTATTATAATGATCATCAACCAATTTAGTAATTGAGTAATAGATAACTGGAGTCTACAGACTTAAAACATGCCATTTGCTTAAAAAGCAACCCACTCAAACCAATAATTATCCTGAAATTGTAAAAAAAATAGATAAACAGTTTGCATTTTAAAACATTTTTGTCTGTGATTGAGCTCTGTCCAGATTCCGTTTAAGTGGCATAGTTTTAGTTTCAACTGATTAAAAACTGACCGTCTGAAATGATCAGTCAGGCAAAGAGAGCATTAATTGGAGAAGAGGTACATGGTAACGCTGGAGCTGCTGCAGGGGAGAGTCTGACTATTGGAAGGACCGCAGGACGAAAGGAAAGTTAAACTAGAGCAATTAGAAGTCATGTGTGCAACAAGCCCCATAGGAGACTGAAAAAGAAGACTGAGTCCAGAATTAAAGAACTAAGACTTGTTGCCTTTATTTTTATTACTTTTATAGCATTTAATAAATTGTTCCCCCTCAACGTGATCTTCTTGTCCTCTAGGTGTATGCGTGGGGCTACAATAACTGTGGTCAGGTGGGCTCCGGCTCCACAGCAAACCAGCCTACACCTCGCAGAGTCTCCAGCTGCCTGCAGAACAAGCTGGCCATCAGCATCGTCTGTGGTCAGACCTCGTCTCTGGCCTTGGTGGACAACGGAGAGGTGACCGTTTGGGTTTATAGTCAGAGCCGATGCTGGCCGGCTCTGACCCAGATCTGACGTGTTATTTTTCCATTTCTCTGCAGGTGTATGGGTGGGGCTACAATGGGAACGGGCAACTTGGACTTGGTAACAACGGAAACCAGCTCACTCCTTGTCGACTTGTAGGTCTGCAAGGTGTATGTGTGCAACAGGTGAGAGATCCGTCACTTGGGTGAACCTCCTAGTAGCTAAGCTTTTTAACATGTTGTCACCACAAACAGTTATTGTTTTTTATTACAATTTCTTGCAAAAGACCAACATAAATTAGTCAAAAGTAAAATGATTAATAGTTTCCAGGGGTGTTAGAAATTAGTAGGGGCATTTGTAATCACTCTCACCAGGTCACTATAATCACCACAAATCTTTTGGTGCAAATTTCTACCAGCTTTACACAACTAGACTAACATTGTTGTTTGTCTTCTATAAAATAACGCAAGCTTATGCAGATTAGAAGGAGTGCATCTGTAAACATGACTTTCTTTTTGTTTTAAGGTATTTTTTATTGAAATTTCACAAAATATACAATGTAAGATTTGTCAAAATTGAATACAGTTAAAAGTTTTTTCTCCCCCAAGAAAGATTCTGAAAAGTAAAAAAAAAAAAAAAAAAAAAAGGATGTAGCTAACCACTGAGAATAGCATACAAAGAATATAAACAAAACAAAACCAGGTCTCAGTCATACAGCTACATTAACTATTGTTATTCCAGTTATTATTCTTATTTTTACTGTTACTTTTAGTACTATTGTTAAGATACCTATTACTACTGCTATCATTGGTGTTAGTATTTTTTATCATGATTACTATTTAGTATTGCTATTTTTATCCTTCCTGTTATTACTAATACTACCATTACTATAAATGTTCCTACCAAAATCTATATCTACTACTTTTATTGTTGCTTTAAAATGACCCATAGTAGTGTAAAAACAGCCTATTAATCCATTTAAACTAATTAAACCAGCTAATACACTGCTTAAGGAATAAAAGGAACATTTTTAATTCTAGATCAGAACTAATTTGACCTCAATACAGATCTCTACTACAAAGTAAACTGGCCTTCACTTTCTGCCCAATGCCTCACTCACTGGTATGTCTTAATTTATAAAACAATTATTGGTGCTCTTCATTTATATTTGACACATCTTTTAAAAAGAAATCAAGAAAGTTCTAATCTCCGATCTATGGACGTCCTACAATTTGCTGTCCCCAAAGTACAAAAAGAAATGCGCAAGAAAAGTTTTCAGCTCCCAATGCCTGGAACAAATTACATACTAAACTTCACATTCAAGCCCCTGTGATGCTGAAAGAAATTTAAAATCCTTGTTAAATCCCTGTAACTAATCATGTCTGTATGTAAATGTTTTAGGTTGGCGTTTCTGCAGAGTTTTAATGCTTTGAATTAGTTTGATATGTTATTTTATGTGTTTAAAAAAAAAACATTTTTGTGTTTTATATTTTGTAACTTATATGCTGCTCTCCTCTCGGCCTGGTCTCTCTTGCAAAAAGAGAATAATAATCTGTCGCTAACTACAGTATTGGTCTCTCATCTTTATTTTTTTGTTGTTTTTTTTCCCATACCTGATGTTGTTTTCCCCAGATCGTCTCCGGCTACGCTCACTCGCTGGCGCTGACAGACGAGGGTTTACTTTATGCTTGGGGTGCTAACACTTATGGGCAGCTGGGCACAGGGAACAAGAGCAACCAGCTGAGCCCGGTTCAGATCCTGCCGGAGAAGGAGAGGTCAGCGAGTCTCCCAGCTCTCTTTAGATATGATTCCTGCTGCTTCTGCGCCGCCTGACTGCTTTGTTTCTTTACAGAATCGTGGAGGTCGCCGCCTGTCACTCCACTCACACGTCTGCTGCTAAGACCCAGAGTGGTCAGGTGTACATGTGGGGCCAGTGCCGGGGTCAGTCCATCGTGCTGCCCCACCTCACCCACTTCTCTTGCACAGATGACGTCTTTGCATGCTTCGCCACGCCCTCCGTAATGTGGCGCCCTCTTTCCATGGGTAAGACAGGAAACTAAGGCACTAAGTGTTTAGATTTTCACTACCCTACATCCAGGCAGCTGATCGCCAATGTTTGAGTAGTTTTGATCCATTTAGACATTGCAGTAGTTTGTCCATGCTGTGTTCATGGAGCTGGGTACAGGAGGCCTCTTTGCAGTAGCTCAACCTGGAGATGTTTTCAGGCCAAAGTTCTAGGTTTACCCCAGCATATCCTTCAAGACTGGCATCTTAATCCTATACCTAAAGTAAATCGACCTAAAGTACTATTTAACTTAGCTGTAGTATCCAGGATCACCAGAGGTGAGTCCGACTCAAGATGGACAAGTTTTACTGTGAGCTCAGTGGTTTCAGTTCTTTCTTTTCTATGAAAAAGAAGCAGCTCAGGATTAAGGAGAGGAGTTTAGGAGATGTTTACCAGCATTTTGCATCCTCCTCTGATCCCAGCCTGTATTCCAGGTTATAGCATCAGATTTATTTCTGATAACCTATAAGCTGTTGAGACATGCCACTCTGACGCATGTTGTTTATTTGATCCATTGACTCATTTTGGCCTGTTTCCATTAATTACGGTGCTTTGGAATGAAAACTCAACATAGCAGCTGCAGTCAAAGCGTCGCCTTCTGTCAACATAAATGTTATTGTTATCAAGTTTAGCTCCTAGAAGTTGTTGCAATATTTTCTTTCGATGCACAACTTTTATAAGGAGCTGAAACCAAAAAAAGTTGATAAATGGAATTTACTCGTTTACTCTGCAGCATCCGGGCATTAGAAAATAAATGTGAACAGAAACTAAAACAGGAATCTTGTAATTTTTATAAATCGCATATAAAAGATAAGAAAAATTTGTGACATTAAATCAAAATCATATTAGATCATTAAATGAGAATAAATATCCGTATTTGCAAAATGCTATATGAAATAAGTTTGATCACTTTTAGAAAAGTCAGGAAGGGAAATGTTTGCTTGTAGAAGTTCCTGATCACTGAAGGTGATCAGTTCACATTATCTTAGTAGAAACACAGTGAATGTGAGATTTAACGTGTTTTGGAGCAAAAGGTTACCCTTAAACGCAGAAAAAATTAACCATTTGCAAAAAAAATCAACAAAATGTTAGGTTACAGTTTGCAAATCCACTCAGGAACATGGCCTTCATTTTTGTAGACGCGACTTGCGATCAAACAAAGTTGGATTGATCATAATATCTCCATCTCAGCTAATGGAAGTAAAAACAGGAAGCTTTCATTCCTAAGAAGACCATCCCAACAGTAAAGTATGAGGGTGGCAGCATCATGTTGCATATAGAAGGTTTCATGAGGATAGAACGTTATCTACTAATATTGGAACAGCAGAGATCAACTGGGAAGGTATCGTTTGGCAATAAATGAGGTGACAACAGGGACAGCGACCTTTTAATGATAAAAGGAAACAATTTCCTTTTATGATTAAAATGATTAAGATGATCCTGAAATAGATTTCCTGCCCCACATAGAGAAGAACAATCTATATTTTCCTATAGTGTTGGTAAACCTGTGGTTTCAAGTGTATTGGTGGTGATTTTCTCCCTTCAGAGCATGATGACTTTCTAACTGTGGCTCAGGCTCTAAAGAGGGAGTTTGATAACCCAGAGACAGCCGACCTTAAGTTCTGCGTTGACGGCAAATACATCTATGTCCACAAAGCAGTGCTGAAAATCCGGTCAGAAACCCTAACCCTCCCAGACGTCTCTTCCACTTAAAGCCTTCATGAAAGTATCACTGAGCTGTTTTCTGCCATTCAGGTGCGAACACTTCCGGTCGATGTTCCAGTCCCATTGGAACGAAGACCTGAAGGAGGTGATTGAAATAGACCAGTTCTCCTACCCCGTCTATCGCTCCTTCCTCCAGTTCCTCTACACAGACAACGTGGAGCTGCCTCCTGAAGATGCCATCGGTCAGACACTGACACACACACACACCCATATACTCACACACACACAGCAGCCTGGTTTGTTTGTGTCGTCGCTAAGCGCTCATCCTGCCTGTGGCTGTTGCTCCCTCAGGGCTACTGGATCTGGCCACATCTTACTGTGAGAACCGCCTCAAGCGTCTGTGTCAGCATATCATCAAGAGGGGAATCACAGTGGAGAACGCCTTCTCTCTGCTGTCTGCTGCTGTGCGCTACGACGCCGAGGTGAGTCTTCCTCAGCCTTCAAAGTCTGTTCTTTATAAAGGAGAGCTTTGCTAAGCCTCACATAGGAAGCTGCAGTATCAAAGGTTAGCCTAATAGGATGCATGAGTTGTTCCAATAAAAATCTTAATTTATTTCCACTTCTTTCATGTCCTTCTTTCCTTTCCCATTCTGTCTCAATCTTTCATTTTTTTCCCAGCCTGGCTCCATACCTCCCTTGGATCTGTCCATCCTTTCATTCTTATTCTAATTCTTAACTCTTTCTTTGCTCCAGTGCTTTTCGTCTTTCCTTTCTTCCTCCTTTCCTCTTACCGTCTCTCCTTGTCTTTGTTTTTCTTCTATTTCTTTCCTTGCCTTTGTTCTTTCTACTCTTGTCTCTTTTCTTTCCATCATTTCCTGCCTTCATACCGTCCCTCTTCTTTTATCATTCCTTATCTTCCATCCCCTCTGTCATTTTCCATAAAAATTTCAGGTAACCTTGGTGTCCTGTTTTTTATTGCCACGTGACAAATGCAAAAAAATCCAACATTTAAAGAACACCTTTATTCTGTGAAATAAAATTCCCTTTTTTTTTTTTTTTTTACAAAAATCAATAAAAGATCCAAACATCATCCATTCAGCCACAGGATTTCTACTTCAAAGCATCCTGATATCTTATACAGTTAGTTGTGCTCTTAATATAGCTCCACAGCATCATAGATCCTCCACCATACTTCACAGTGAGGCTGAGATGTTTTTCAGGTTATTTCTTTTCTTCAGCTCATCCTAAAAGAGCGTCTGTTTCCATTTAAAGTCTCCAAAGCGTTTAGCAGCTGTGATAGGAGGACTCCAGCATGTAACTCTTTGCATCATTTACATCATTTTAACTTTTGTTGTTTTAAACCCTTGTAACCCCAGTTTGAAATATTCTGCCTTGGCAGATATTTTATTTTATTTTTTCAGCTTTTTTTCCTCCTTTTTTTTTTTTTGAATGTTCTGTTATGTTTGGGGAGTGATTTCTATAAATTGTACTTTCAGTCATGTCAGAAGAATAAAAAAATTTAACTGTAGATCGTAACTTTATTCCTTAAAAGTTCAAAAAATATCCACTGGCTTGGTTTCCAAGATTTGAAGACGTTTTGCCACCTCTCCAGGACGCTTTCTCAATTCAAGACGTAACAATCGTAACTTTAATGCTTATTGACTCACTTGAAAAATATTTTTATAGTTAAAAAACATAACACAAAAACATAAACACTCTGGCCTACTGTAATAAAGGTGAGATTATTTTAAACCTTTTTCCCCGCTTTACCACCGCAATAGGTAAATATGGATGGAGCTGTAACAAAAAAGGGCTATTTCTCTGTTTGGTTATTTTGTAAAAAACAAAACAAAAAAACTATATCAAAAATGAGCTTTTCCATCACACTTATTTAATATATCTTAAACTTAGACAAATTTTATTTGTAATTTTGTTCACACAAGTGTAAAACAAAAAGATATTTTGTTTGGAGCAGCTCTCTGGACAATTTCATATTTTTTCTTTCTTTAGGCCTCTGTGTAAACATCAAAATAACTGTTCAAGCAGAATTGTTTTTCCCTGAGTTTAAAGCTGTAACTTCTGTTGAGGCAAATAGAAAAGTTGATCCAGATACTGTAAAAGTAAAGCATCATCAGGGGGGGTGGTAAATATTTTGCAGTACAAAGGCAAACTGCCAGTTTGTCCTCACTTGGCCGGTATTTGTTGACAGATCCAGGCTGTTTAGTCACTTCCTGTTTATTTTCTGGGGTGAGCTGATGATTATAAGGTCTGTCATCCGTGTTTTATTTCTGCACGTTATCTTTCCTGTTAAGTAAAAAAAACAGTAATTTGTTTTGATTTGATAACATTCAGATAGACGAGTCACTTTTTATTTATTGTTTGACCAAAACTGCCTTAGTTGATTATCTTTCTTCTGTTTAGGACCTGGAGGAGTTCTGCTTCAAGTTCTGTGTAAACCACCTGACTGAGGTGACCCAGACGGCTGCTTTCTGGCAGATCGACGGCAATTTGCTTAAAGATTTTATATGTCGAGCAAGTCGATGTGGAGCCTTCAGAAACTAAACCTGGACTGCAGGAAGTGATGGGAGCACATGCAGAGAGGAGCTTCCTGCAAACCATCAAATCCAGTCAGTCTCTATCCATGGTGGAATAGTTCAGGGTCCCTCAATTCCAGTCCTCCAGAACCAGAACTGAGGAACCATGGTCTGGTTTGAGAGGAATCGTTAGCCAGAATTTGTGCGTCAGCGGTAACCTTGATAGGTGGTGTCTGAATAGTGCTGGCAGAGAGGAAGGAGGCAGGAAGAGTCGGAAGCTTCCTATTATGGTTCCTTCAGGATAGGGAGCTTTTGAGGTCCCTCACTGGCTTTAAGGAGGTATTAGGAATCCCACCATACTTAGTGTGAAAGGACGTAGGCACAGACCACCCCAGGTGTAGTTTGTATGACACATCCAGATGTACACCATCATATTTTGGTTTTCATTTGTAGTTCTTTTTCGGAATGCTGTATTCCCAGACTGACAAGCATCGTACATGTGGGATCCCATCATGTATGGACGTCCAGAAGGCTAAAAGGCACAGCAGTTCACAGGCTCCTTTCCGATCCACAATTCTTACTGTTTACTTCAGGGATGGTGAAGGAACAAAAGCCAGGAGCTGTAATGAAACCGTTTCACAGTCAAAGAATCTCTGCACAGAGTAAAACATCCCTTCCTGATCACTGAATTCAGCTTTGAGTTCCTCTGCCTGAACCGGAGCGTGCATAAACTTTATTTTTGCACATTGAGCAGCAGCTGGTTACTCATATTGCCTTGCTTTTTATATTTTTTACACATATTGTATAAGGCATCAGCAAGTGCTATTGCTTATATGCTTTATGCTTAACTTAAGACACAAATTAACTAAATTATCAGGTCATTATTTTAGTGAACTGATCAAAGCTTCCCTTATTTAACATGATTGTGCTGCTGTCAGTGAAAAGTTTGCAAGTCTAGACTTTGCACGTGAGGATAAGAAGTTACAATTTTAGATAAAACAGAAATCTGACTGAAAACTAGGAAATATTGAATGTCGGTGCATAAATCTTTATTGGTCAACATCACTGAAGGAACCCAGGTTGAGATGCTGGTTCTTAATCAATCATTTTGATTTATAGTGTTAAATAATTACTCGTTTGCGTACTTCCACCTACCAAACGTAAAATAAAAGTGTTTATTGCTTTATGGTTGACAGTTGCTGATGTTAGATTTTTTTATTCCTAAAATTTCTGTATATGCTGATGAATAAATCAAACAGTATTATAGTTTCTTAGTTGTTTTGAGTAAAATGAACAATAGTTCTCATTTATTTGCAGGACATTAAAAATAAATATGTGCCAGTAAAACATTTTGCTCTCGTATGAATAAAACAATTTCTTTCTGGTTTTCTGCAAATAATGTGTGTCATTAATATTTGTCATTAATATTCACCACGTTTCTCAAAAAAAAAATCGGACTGAAATATTTTCATACTTTATTTAAGTCGACATCAGTTGGTGGAGTGGTTCCTCTATCTTTGCTATGACAAAATACTCCATCAATGTACGGTAGTTAAGGTAAGTTTCCTTGTCTCTCGGTATAAATTACAACTTCAAGAATCCAAGTATGAAATTTTAAACTGGAAACTAAATCAACTGTATTTCATTAGTAGACTAAACTTAACATAATACCAGATTTTTCTAGGCATCTCTTCTTGTTCTGCAAAAAGTAATTAAAGTCAGAAGGATGTAAGTATTAAGCATAAAGAACTACCCTTGCAGGTCCCCTTAAACGTAAACCAGTGTCAGTCAGACATTAAGATACATTTTCTCTAAAGGCCTGTTTTTTTTTACAGTAGTGACCAAAAAACATCAGGCCTAACAACAGAACAACAAACCAACCAAGCACAGACTAAGCAATATTCCAAGCTATCGCCACTGCTCTGTGTTAATGATTTTTACAACAGGGGGATTGGTATAGCCTTGTGAGACCATCCTGATCTTGCGAGCTTTCAAAATTTCACTCGCTAAATCCATTTGGCGGAGTCAGGTTAGAATTGGTAACCATCATATCCACAGATTATGAACAGAAACTCATGGATTAATTATTTCCTGGAATCAGAAAATACCAAAAATGACACCTTCTCAGTGAATGTGAGCACATTTTAAAGAGATGACTTTTCCCTCTGAAAAGAAAAAAACATTAAAAAAATAAAACCCAAAGTTCTCTCATCTTAAGGTTCTAATCAAAAGAGATGTTCCACTTTGCTTTGGTTTTCTTTTTCTTCGCTGATTGATGGAGCAGCTACTAAAGTCTCTGAATCAGGAAGGAATTAAAGTCAACATCTATAGAACAACAGACAGGTAAAGTATGAAGGTTTGTCTTTCCAGTGAGCTTTGTTGTGTTGCCGCTACAAAACGTAAAAAACCTCCCCTTTGCTATGCTAAGTGGCTTAATGGAACTTATTTTTATAGAATCTTAGTAAAAAGCCAAGTTATTTGTGGAAAATCTCTTAAACATGATGTTTTCAGCATTTGTTGACATCAAGTTATAAATCAATAATGCTTAAAACGGATGCCCTGAATGTGGACAGAGATCTGGTCGTCCACCAAAACCTACAGGTTTGGGAAGCAGAGCACGTTTCTAATTGATTCAAAGGAGCCGAATATACGTCTGAACAAAACATACATTTTTAATGTTACTTTCATTTTAATCAAACAAGGTACAAATGGTCTTTCAATTTTAAAACAGTGCACTTTTTTGTAAAGACCGATGCTGCTGTAACGCATGAGAAAATATATATATTAGAACTTAAAAAGCTAAAGGAAGGAGTTCACAGAAAAGTGTTTGTGCAAATAAAATAATATTTTTCTTAAAATGCTAGTTTGTGTTGAACATGTTGGAGATTTAAAACCCAACTGTAAAATGTTGCAATAAAAAAAAACACCAATTTTACTTTAGAATTTAATAAAAAAAACAGACTATTCATAATCGAACAATCATCATGAACGTGTGAGTGTAAACAGACTTGGCTCTCCTAAAAACAGTGACATTAAACCATTTGTAAACACAGTGGGTGCATGTTTGAACAATGATTAACGTGAACATTCCTGCTACATCGAACCACTTTTAACATTGAAGAAAAATACAAAAGCATTAAAATACATCAACAAAGTGAAAACACAACCAATTTTTCATTAAAACAGGACCAGTGATAACAGCTGGAGACCAGCAGCTGGAATCATTTCTGCAGGGCCGAGACGACGTCCTTCAGAGCCGCTGACGCCCTCTGCAGCTCCAATCGTCTCCTTTCCAGTTCTGAAATCAGTTATCAGGTAAAATTCAAAACCTTTTAAGTGAGGGAAAAAAAAATAAAAAAACATCTATCGTCTTACTGAGAGAAAAGTGGACCAAAATCTTAATTTCTTGTGAGCACAAATATGCAGGATAAGGTTACCTTGTTCCTATAAACCTCAAGCTTAACAAATTTAACAATAAAACTGAAAAATATCAAATAATTCTCAGAAAAGGAGGGAATATTCTCTTTCCCCTATGCTTAAGCTCTTAAAACCCACCGCAGACCTTAAAGTGGGGGTAATAATTCAGAATGCATAAAAATTCCACCGGTAAAATGTTTACCAGCAGGTGGAGCCATTGTGCGCAGCTCCAAGCTGACACCAAAAGTTCCAAACCCCTGAAATTTTCTGAATGTGCGGTTGACATGATGTAGAACAAACATAATACAATAAAACCTGCCTTTTCTCAAGTACATCTTTATTACTGCTGTTCAAAAAAGACCTATCATTTCTGAGAATAAAAAAACAACAACTTTGAGTCATGTTTGAACTGATGCAGGTTGGTCTGTGTTCTACTCACCCAATTTATATATTAGGAAACTAGAGGGTGTTAGCTTTCAAATAATGTATTGCACATGTAATTTGGGCTTACAGTTCCTAATTTATTTGCTTTTCCATTTGGGTATGCAAAGGGCTGCAGCAGGGCTGTAGTTTGATGGAATGTATTTATATAAATTAGAATAAAAAGCCCCAAAGGCAAAAAAAAAAAAAAGTTGAAAACCACTGGAATCTTTTTTTTTCCCAAATCATTCTTGTTAATAATTTAAATTTCAAATGAGCTAAGCTCTCTGTAAACAAAGTAGATGAGATGAAGGCCTGCAGGCCAAGTTTAAATGGTGAGACGTTGCATGATGAAGCTTTTTTCTCCAAGAAGCTTAATTAAAGAGATTGTTAGATCCAACCTGTAAGAACTTTTTAGGGGCAAACTCTTATCATTCTGGTTTTGATGATTTTGTATTTAACTCCACAAAACACTGCAAACCGAGGACTGCATACAAAAAGCAATAAAAAGCAATTTTGTTAAAACCTGCATGATTGTATATTATGTTGGTAACTTTATTTATGCATTAATCACAAGCTTTTTCAGACATTGACCTGGTCCCTCCCAACAATTAATTTTAGGCATTTAAAAGAAGCAGTATAGCGTTCCCAGTCCATGGTACGGGCATTGTTTTAGGTCAGCAGTAATTAAGGCTTTAAATCATGAATGATGACCTTGCCTCCATGTTCCCTGCATGTGTGCTACCCTCTAGTCTTGGAGCCTTAGAAATGTCTCCACCATCGTTTTAGAGACTGATGCCATTGATTTGGTTTATTTTCCACTCTTCAGTTTCTTTAGGTCAGGAAATGACCTGCTGCTTTAGCAGATTTAGCCTATTGCATGTTGTAGCTTTCTGTTAAGGGATTTTCCTTTGATGCTTGGTAGGAAACCAGACTTTTTTTTTTTTAAACATAATGACTCTTTTGTATATATTAAAGCTGGTTTTACTGGAGCTATAGCTTCAAAAGTAGCTCCTGGATTAGTTTTCTGAACATTCAAAGGCAGTCGGGGAGTTAACATACCTTCCTCCTGCTTGGTAACAAGGTCTGCAAGTCTTCCTGAGTCCATTATCATCGAAAGTGCCCGGTCATAATCTGTGGAGAAAGCAAAGTCCAGCTGTTTTATTTATGAAAAATAACCCACCCATCCATAGTTATGCACACCCAGACACTCCAAGGCTCTCTGAAGCTCACCACACAGCTTTGATGGAGAATTTAGGTCTAGATAGTGAGTTGATCATGGTTGCTTTTGTATCTCATGAACCATTTCTCTGTTAATTTGGCAACATTTCCGATAAATGTTGGCAGAGATTCTTTTCAAACAAATAACAGAAACATTTATGACCAAATTAAATATTAACAATGGTTAGCAGAGAGGGGGAGCACTATAGGTGGTCTTATGCTACGTTCACACCGGCCGCAGCAAAATCGCGTCTGCTGCTTCATTTTTGCTGCTTGTACCAGTTAGTTCTGCAAAAGTGGGTCTGACGCGCGCTGGGCGGAGCTTCACTATCCTTTCTCTGCCTTGCAGCTATATTTGCTGTGATCAGTGGGAATAAAGTAGTTTTAATATGTTTTNTGGGCGGAGCTTCACTATCCTTTCTCTGCCTTGCAGCTATATTTGCTGTGATCAGTGGGAATAAAGTAGTTTTAATATGTTTTTAAGTGAGAAAATGCACCTGAAAACGTAATCAGTGCAGTCAGTTCATTCAGATTATCATGCTGCCTTCCAATATTTTTTCTGTCGGAGCCGCTCAGACCCCCACATACCAGTAGTGCGCCGACAGAAGGAATCCCTTCATCAGCAGCCAGAATAATAAAAGCGAACATATTCTGCTGGCAGATTTCTGCATTTTAAGTTAATTTATGCGTCAATTAACTGTTTAAGAGGAGTGATCATAGCGCTCTGATCATCAGTGCTGTGTCTCTCTCTCTGCCAGCTCCCAGATTAGCTCCTCTGATTGGTTGACGCGGCGAGCAGCAAAAGTTCAATTTTTCCATCTCAAGCAGCAGCGCGTTTGCGGCGCATCACACGTGTCAGATGCTTAAACGCGCCCAACTCGCTGCTTCAGCTGCTCAGACGCGCTGCACCTGCCGCTCAAAACGCGCTGCGGGACCTTTTGCTGCGCCTTGATGTGCGTCAACCATTGACTTTGCATGTAAACTCGCTGCTTCTGTCGCGGTGTGAACGCAGGATTAGGTGATACCCACACATGAAAAAACCACTAATGTCGGCCAAAATGTACCAGCTCTCATAGAGAAAGCTTTTACTATTTCTTTTACAATTGTGTTTATTTTTTATAGTTACAAAATAAACAGTAGCCCTCATTCAATGTTTTTTTTGTTTTTCTGATGATTTATACTTTTTAAATATTGATCAAGTAAGTGGCTTTGCTTCTGCAGCTAATTCCGGCATAAAAATAAATAAACAATGCCCATGTTGTCTTGTTTGACTGATTTTTAAGTGTTTTTCATCTGTATATCATTTTATTCATAAACCAGCGAAAAAAGACGCCGTAAATGTTGACAGAAAATCCGAACACCTTATATTAGTAAATGTCAAACTTCATCTATTTGATAGAAATTATTGACTAAATGTAAGAAAAAAACTAAACAAAAGGATTTATTAATCTTTTTAATCAAATGAAAACACCCTGAGCGTCATCTTCCTCACCTTCCTGGCTGGCCCGCTCATCCTGGATCCTGCTGAACATGTTGTTTATTTCCGTAATAAAGTCGGTGAAGATGGCCTCCGTAAACCCGGCCGCGTTGCAGTTTCTCCAGAAGCTGGCCGAGTCGATGTCAGGCTTTGGGTCTGATGGAGGTGTTCCGGCAGGCTCGGTGATTAGGGGTGCGTGTGGGGAGGGTGGTTCTGGTGGATGTGCTAAGGCAACCTCTCTAGGTAGAGGTGCTAGAGGGGTGGGCCATTCTTCTGAAGGAGAGGGGGAAGGGGGAGGGGGGATAGTAACACAGATGGATTCAGGCAGAACTTCTTTAAAGCTGGAGAACGGCACAGAGCTGCTGGGCTTGGAGTGCTGTGGGGAAGCGGTGGAGCTCTGCTGTGGGACGGAGACGGAGGGTTTGAGGACGGGTTCTTCATAAGCCTGGACCAGATCCTCTTCAAAGACGAACTCTGAGAGCAGAGACCGAGCAATTTGTTCCCAGCTTATTCCAAGATCATTATACATTTAAATATTTTTGGTTTCAGGTCTCCCCTCTGCTATCTCCTTCTTAAGAGGAGGCCCCAGGTCATACCTTCTATTTCCCTCTTCACCGTCTGCACCTCCGTCTCTACCATCTGAATGTGGCGACTCTCCTCGGTTACAGCTGCAAGTGCAGGATTTAAGAGAAGCATGGTGCCGACTGCCACCCCAGACAGCAAACTCTCAGACTCCGCATCCTGGGAGGAAACCACACGACTGACATCATGGACAAAATTTGATTTCAGAATATATATTTTTAAATTTTAACTATTATATACAAGTTCAGTGTGTTTTCTAGTGGATCTTCTCTGTACGTTTCCTCCACTTTCTCTTGGACCTCTGCTATCCCTCTCCTGACAAAATACATGAATGCATGACATGAAAACCTGGACAATTTGTGGTGCATCAATCCATATAGATAAAAACACGTACTTTTACACTTATTATGAGCTTGGATATATAAAATCACATTCATAGACTGATGATATCAATAATATGTGCCAATAACACATTTGTTTTATTAGCACTTTTAATAAAACAAATATACTTTATGAGGTGGATATGCTGCTTTATGGAGCCAGTTAGTTTATTTAAGGAGGGTGTTACACAGTTTTTTGAACATAACTCACACTTTGACTATTACAGACTCTGGAACTCACTTCCTCCCGACCTCCGCAGTATTGACTCTCTCCCCTTATTTAAAGCCAGACTCAAAACCCATCTGTTCCAGCTCGCTTATCTGTGAATATACTGCTCTTTTCCCTATCCATGATTGTTTTTTGTTTTTATGTTCCTGTATCTGTATTTTGTATTTTCATCTCTTTTTATTGATTTTTTTTTGTATTATTTGTAAAGTGAACTTGAGTGTCAAGAAAGGCGCTGTTAAATAAAATGTATTATTATTATTATTATTATTATTAAGTCTCTTATGTCTCTTTTTCTTTTTTTTCAGACACCCTGAAAACCAAACACACAGGCGCACATGAAACCAATTCAAAGATTTGATTAAATTAAGACATCTGATATCATGTAGCCGATAACCGATATCGATACCGATGTTAAAGCTGGACAAAAATAAGTATTCATTGAAAATAGCAGTTTTGTTATCCATTTCTGACACTTAAATATATTTTCATATGCTGATATCAAATTGATTTTTAAAAACGCGGTATCGATCTATTTTACTTTCAAAATCTCGTGAAATTTCATCGTTCT